TTTCTAAAGCTTACAGGATCTTCAGGGTTCCGGCTTCCAAGCGCGACGAAAGCTGGCTTCAGGTCTTTTGCCGGCTATGATGGTGGACTTCGTTTGGCTATATCGGCTTTCTATCGGTTGCACAAGGATGGCATTTTGCTTCCAAGTCAAGTGTAACGAATTCCCATTTGATCATGGAATCCTGCTACTGAATGTGCCACCCTGAGACTTCACCTTGTCATCCTTGAGGGGGCCCATAGCCTTCATCCAATCCTTTTCTCTCAAAGTCTCATCGATAGCAATTTTGAAGACCCTCTCTTGGAAGTTCCACGAGCCTTCACTTGCTGTCACTTCCATGAGGTCGGATAGCTCTTCACCCAAGATGAAGCTTTTCTCCCTCGGCACCTTTGTCCGAATGGCTGCAACCATGGCTTTTGCTGTTCCAAGCCGTGGGTGGGAGTCATTCTCGGCACCGTCTGCCCATGTGAAGGGGGCGCTCCGAACGAAATTGAGCTGGTCTTCGTCCAACTTGGATAATGCAGCCGCCAACTTTTGGAAGGTGCTTGAATCCCAGCGAGATCCCTTAAAGACCTCGTCGAAGCATTGAATCTCAAAGCCCATTGCTTTCATCACTTTCAACATAAAGACGCCGGAGTCAACAAGGAAGGGGGTCTGCCGGACATGGAAAGGGCTTGCGGGATCCCTGTTGAGCGTTTCCACGTAGGCGTTGGCTTCGGGGCAAGCTACTGTGACGACGGGCATGGAAAAGTAGCTGAAAATGCGCGTGTCGAGGTGCTTACCCTTGGAGATCTCCACAGCTTGAGTTGGAAACATAATGGGCGAGGGATTCAAAACACTCTTAGGTTTCGAACGGTCACCAATGTTCACTATAGATCCAAGCCGTTGAAGTCGGGATCCGTCTTCGTAGCCCCTCACTAGCTCAGCAGCCACCGCTGAACTGGCTCGTTTCTTATTGCCAAGAACAAAGCCCGGACCAGCTGATTTCTGAGGTTCTACAAAGGAAGCGATATGGTCGAAGTTACCAGAAGAGATCCACCTCGAAATCATCGCTACTCGCTCCTCAAAAAAAGAAGTTCAAAGTCGCGGATAGCTTTGCTGCAAATCAGATTGGTGACCCTGTCAAGTCTGCTCTCAAACTCCTCCAACGGAGTGCAGCGCACGACAGCAATTCTGGCTAGCCCGACAATGCGTGAACGGGCCGTTGGAGCCAGTTTAGGCTTCGAAAATGCACATTGTTGGAGGTGAACTGGCAAGAGGTCCAACATGGGTTCTATGATCTCACGGGTCACTGACCATAAGTAACCTCCTGCCTATCCATATAGGTAGGGTAAGGCCGAGAGTGGCGAGCGTATGGATACGGTAGTTTGGATTGTATGATAGGCCTGTCCATACAAATAGGGTAGGGTCTAAGGTAGACTTATTCTGGGGTCCCTATATAGATACCTGTAGACCCTACCCTAGTTTGACAAAAAAACCGTAAAAACATGGGAGTTCTGTATGACTGTATGAAGTTCAGGAAAAAAAGCCACTGGCCCAAACTGTCTGCGTTCACCATGATGATCATGAAGCTTCCACAGCCTTCCCGATCCGTCAGACCGCGTCTCTTCGCCGCGTCCGATCCGTCAGAACTCGCGGCCGGGAGGCTCTTACCGCCTGGCGAGCTACCGGGGTGAGAGCTTCGTGCAAGTCGACCTGCGGCGAGCTGCTGCTCGGTGCAGGTGACCTGTCGCTCTATGTCGCTATCCCATGCGACACCGGCGACCTGTCTAGGACTGGAATACCTACATTGACCCCGGACACCAACCTCAATGCAGGTAAATATATAGGTATAATATATGTATATATATATATATTGTTTCTAAATGTGGTCATGCAAATGCCAAACAAATAGGTTTGAAACTGTGACTTATGACCACGCGTGCTACTCTCGAAACCCCACAAGTTCAGCTGCACAGCTTATCACTTAACATCGCAAAAACTTTGGTTCAAAACCGATTGACCCTGCATCAAAAATGGGCGAGCCGCATCCCAAATTACACACATTGTATGGTATATAAGTTCCTTACAAATCTGTAAGTTTATGTTTCCTTCTAATCCTTGCAGATGTGTGTCGAACAACTTTTTTCCAAACTCGGTGCCCATTGGTTTCTGGCACATGCCAGCATGATCTATCCCAACAAAAAACAAAGATCTTCCAAGCCGCCCTTGCCAGCCAGATATGCCGCCCCTCCACCCCAACTGATCGCAGGGCCATCCACCCCGTTGGGAATGGCACCACCCCGGTGATCACCATGGGAGGGCCATAAGAAACCACTCCTTTCCATGGAGCTGGTGGTGTCTCTGGGTCGAATCGCACATGTCCAAGCTGTGTGGAACAAGCTGTGAAGATCTTGAAGGTACCGGTGTCTTTTTCGGGCATTGTTGGGTATCGTCGATCTATGGCGTGTACAAAGCGGATTCTGGTTTAACTAATAGGTGCTTGACTTGCCCCTACTACCCTCCAGAAACCAAGTTGGAAGCGGAACATGCTCCCTCAGGAGACAAACAACCCATCTCCATGTCCTACTAAAATGCAATTGTTTCCGAGACTGATCCCTTTCCCATCCTTTCCAATTTGTGCAGCCAAAACAACCCCTAGGGCTCCAGTCGCACCTCCTCAGAAGGCATGACTGGCCTGTCCTGGCGGCCCCCAGTCCCACCTTCGAAGCCTGGAGCCCAAACGGATACCCTCGGTACGTACACCCTCGGTACTGGCGCCTCAACAAGCTCAGCTGGTGGCTCCGTGGTGTGAGGAGAGGAAGGCGTCTCTTGCACCGAGAAGGCCTGGCAAAGCAGGAGCAGCGGACTGCTTCTGCTTCCACCCAAAAGCCTCAGTGAACCCTGTTTTTGGAGCCAAAGACAGGGTCTTTTCCTATCAAAAGAGGTGATGTCGGAGTTACACAGTTCCACCTGCAGGGAGTTCCCAAAACAACTCACATGCCCTGGATGTCTCCAGACTAGGATGAACAAGTCTGGAACAAGATATTTGAGTGTCCAAGAGCTCCAGGCCAATCCCTCCGTTTCGGGGTCAGACACCAACAAAAAGGATGCCAGGTGCCGGGAGGCTTCAGCTACAGAGGAGGCCGCTACTAAGCCTTTTAGGAGGCTTAAAAAGGGATCTTCGGCCGTTTTCTAAGGTAAACTGAAGAAGGAATACAACATGCAGAAGTTGTTGCCCTTTCACTATAAGGCAACGAAGAACAAGGTGAAGAGGTTACACTGTGAAGAACCTGGCAGTTGATTTGGTCCATTCCTGGCAGTCTCAACATGAAGGGTAGCAGTCTGAAACAGCTGCGAGGCAAAGACACATGCAGCACGAAGTCCATGTGAAATACACTCTGACGAACACATCACACGGAAGTGGATGGCATGGTCCTAAAAGAAGACTACTTTCCTCTACAAACAAGGGGTGAACTCCACTTCCATGTTAGTGAGGGAAAGTGTATATGTTTGAATGTGCAGCTCTTGAGTATCGGATCCTATGGTTTAGTTAAATCCTGTGATAGATATGATCAATGCTGTTGAACAAAGCTCCAGTAAATCACTTGAGCTGAGGAACAAGTCAGCATCACCGTCGTCATGGAACAGCTTTACAGTGAAGAACGAGACCACTTCATCTTATATAAATTGATCAGTATAGGTGGCTTACGCTCCAACAAACAACGTCAAAAAAATATGCCAAATAACACCAAGTTCGGAAGTGCTCATTCCTTCAACCTCGCCATCAAACTTGGCCGAGCGGCGACGATTCGGATCCCCAATAGATACCAACAGGATTTACCAAAGAGCAATCCTGAGAGTTTCTACCTGCCCAATTCCCATCCATGGAAGCCAACCATTGTTTATTTGGCTGTGGGTCATGTCGGTCATTCGCTCCATCGTGGACTGGTCGGGCTTTCGGTGGGTCACGGCCCATCCCCATTGCCAATCTTATTCGGCCGTGGCCTCCAGGTCCTGCTCCACCAGGTTCCAATCCCAGTCCTCCTGCGAATCATGTGGCCACATCAAGGTCGGATGAACACCTTGTCCCAAATGAAGTCCAATACCAAACAACACTCCATGTATGGGATATATGACGATCAATTGATCCCCCTGGCACCACCCCAGTTGATCGGCATATATACCAGTCTCACGGAGTGTATGACACCTGGTGTGGAACCTTGGGGCATCCGTACATGTGTCCTGCTCCAAAAAGTGCTGTTAGACGAGGTCGCCGGTGGTTCAGGTCCACCGATCAGAATTGAAACATACACCCCCTGCACCCCTAGGGCACATTCTGAGGCCACATCCTCAAAAGGCAGTTCAACCTCCCAACCCACCCCAACTACCTTTTGAGGATATGGTTGGAGCCCCTAGGCATACTTGCGCATCGGAGGTTCTCATGGTTTCAAGGCAAAACTTTGACCGGACACTTGCAAGGCAAAACATGGACTGGATACTAAGTTTAAAAAACAAAAAACAAACAATAGCTGTTATGCTCAGTTGAACCAGTTCTTCTCAACTTGTCCGGGTGAAAACGACCTAAACAACGACCCATCGAGACCATGAACTTGGGGTCGTTGATCGGAAAGCACGACTTGAGGTGCTGTTGGACACAACTCCTCACCGCACTGTTCCGCAGCCTCACCTTGAGTGAGTTTTCCGTTTTTACTGTTTGAAGCGGTCTTTGTGGCTCAATGCGTCAGCATACCTCGGGCCATTCAGGATCGTTTTGTTGGTCCGGCATTGGCAGGTGCAGTCTCCAGTTATGGACAAGTCGACCGTCAGTAAGTCTAGCAAGGATTCTTGTCTTATGGTGTCAAGGGTCACGGTGTAAAACATCTGCAAAGGCAAATCCGACAAAAGTGCGTAAAATGACACAGACCTGAGATCTTAAGCATACGGTATGGTTCTACTTACCCAACTTTACCACAAGAATTGCTCTCTTTGAAGGTGTTTTGTTCCCTTCATGTCCTCTCATGGACCCAGTTGAAGGGCATTGGGATGCGTTCAGACACATGGGCGAGCTTGACCTACAGCCACATGGAAGTGTACACATGAGACCCTTTCACAATGACCTCTTAAAAGTGTATGGAAAAAGGTGCTTCAACAAAAACATGACACCCCCTTTTCCATATATAAGTATATCCTTCAAACCATGTTCAAATGGCCCCACCAAAACCAATCATGATGTTCCTGGCTCTCCTTGACTTGTCATGCTTTTTCCTGGGGGGTTCCCAATAAGAGCCTCACCCCCTTTAGCGTTCACCCCTTCTACTTTCTAGTGAATACCATATCATCCTTTCATATCCTGTCAGCTCCCAAGTATCTGCAGGATATTTCGCTCATGCCCTCATCTAGTCGAGCCACACTTGGACAGTTCCTGCAAGCTGTCAGGCACCAAAAAGTCATGCGGGAGCACCCTGCTGCAGTGCTGGCAGAACCTCACATTCAACACCTTCTGTTGATGAAGCCAAGCAGCAAGATGTGGTCTGCCCAAAAAAATCGGATTAATTGAGATCTCCCAGAAATCTGTTGTTGTCTCAAACGACTTAGCATAGCATGCGACAGCTGTCCTCCTCCGTGTCGCACTGACACTCCGCATCCTCCCAAGCATCCTGCAGGCTCCAGCAAACAACGAAACCGCCTCAGACAGTTCACCACCTACACGAAGCATTGTATTTTACCGGAACATCTATGCATACAACCTTCGTTCGGGTGAAGAGCATGACTTCTCATGGAGAAGACCTCTACGTAACACTTTGGTCAGAACTTGCGCGATAGTATGCGATAGTGGGACAACTCAGGTACAGCCAGCTCACCTTCAACTATGCATCATGTGAAGGAGGGCACCGGACTTCGGACTTCAATCGGCGTTGGCCAAAGTATCCCCCTTTTCAGCTCCGGAGCCGGAAATGCCAATGATTTGAGGTAGTCAGTCCCCCTCCCTGTGGCCTACACCTACTAAACTACACCTGGGATATGTTCCGAGTCTTCAGTGAAATAACTACTAAACTCTTTAGTAAGTCAATGACTCAATGACATATGACCTGGAAGCCTGGAAGGACCGTTGAATTAGTGGATTCACTCCGGTCAAAAGGACTGGTAGCCGATACACACCGAGCAGCTCACTCAGCATCTCCCATTCGATACGAAGCCTTCATCACTGAGGAATGAATTGGTGTGTTGTGACCGCATACCCAACACCCCCAAAAAAAACACACAGCCAGCCTTCGTCCTTCTTACCCTAGGAATCCGGACTTGAAGCAACACGTACGGTTTTGGTTCGGGTCCGGACCCCTGCGTTTCGGTGTCGAGTCCGACCCCTATCATGGAGGGCCCAAGAATTCCGTCAGTGAAATTCCAACGTTGACTTGTGTCGCTCTGCCTCGATGGCTGGCTCTAGCCAGCGGTGATCCACATCGGTCGACTCCGCTGAAGAGTCCTCTCCAAACATCCAAAACATACGTGAATACAATAAAACGCACTGATCTATAATGATCTATATAGGTGTGTGTTAAAATAGGGAGACCTCCCAGGCATGGCGACGACCCCCTGGGTTCGGAGAAGGGAAATAGACCTGCCCAGCTATAGGCGCAGGGGTCTCCCTATTGACATACTACACATCCCATCTATCGTCCCCTGCGCCCGCGAACGGTCCGCGAACCGTCCCGTGCCTCGCTCTGCGGAGAGGAGGTGCTGGACGCTGCGCCATCTGGTGGAGCGTGCTCCTCACGATGCTGGTTTCTGGAACTTCCCCTAAGGCTCCTGTCCCATATCCTCAGGTTCGGTTGTTAGACCCCCCTGGCACCCACCCCAACCATCTTCTCAGGAGGTGCGCCAGGAGCCCTAGGGTTCGAACAAGGCGAGAGAAAACAAGTACTTGGACCCGACTTCGCCCCGAGCCGTATGGGACATGATCAGGTACTGTAGCCAATTTCTACAGAACGAAGTGAGACTTCAGGTAGTTGCTGAAAAGTAGAAATCGTAACCAAATTCCGGTTTGTATGGTAGAGTCAATGTAAGTTGGAATGGTGACCATGGTGGAATCAAGATCAATCAAGCACTCATGAGCTGACGATGCTAGCCACTATGCTAGCCATTTGGTCCAACTAGAAAGTTGATGATTCCAAGTGAGGTTCGACAGAGAGCACGCCAGGAGCACAACGAGACAGGTGGAAACGGGAAGCGCACGCCCATGTGGGCAGTCCAACACCTCGCTGATTTTTGGCGCCACGAACGACTCTTCTCTGCGAGAGTAAAATCACCGGTGGTAACCTCCGAATCGAACATGTTGCACATGGAGACAACAACATGTTGGAAACAGTGCAAACCCTGTGAGCAGTTCAAAGTCGGTGCAACAAATTAAACAAAATATACACCTGGAGTCTCAAAGTACCTTGCAAAATGGGTAGTAGTACCTGTTTCTTAGGGGTCATGTCCCATTTTCTAAGGTATATTGGAATTTTTGGTCACCAACCGCATAGAAATGGCAATCTGTATACTGATCGACTCTCTTTCCCACACTTTGCTGGTTTTCATATTGACTGGAGTCACTGATGGGTCACCATGTGTCGCCGAAACACGAAACCGGGCTCTTCAATTTCATTCTCCCGGACAGGGGCAGTGGATGTCGCATGGAGCGGACAGAGACCGCCCAGGGACCCCCGCCTTTGCCGCGCCCCAGAGCTGCCGCAGCTGCCCGAGAAAGCCCCTGGAACGATAGAGCTGCGCGTCGGACTCGTGTGGCCCGGGAGGAGCCAAACTCGAGTCCGAAATCTGGCAAAGCAGGCTGCTTGAATCCTTCGACTCTAGAAGTGTCTGATGGCCCAGAGGCAACTGCAGCAAGTCAATTAAGATCAATTATATGACTATGTTCTTCACAACTGGTCTTATCCTGTTGACTGGCTAAATGGAAGGGTACTTGTCATTGGATGTCCCTTTGCCAAAAGCCGTAGCAACAAGGGAGGACTATACCAGACTACCAGTTTGCATGGTTTGCTTCGTCCCAGGTCGAGTCTGGACCGATCCAGAAAATGTTCAATCGTCAGTGTCCGCCATGCTCAAAGAAATCTCTGTGTCAGTCAAGATGATACACTCCCTGAAATGATGATGGAAGTGGAGTTCAACACCTGTTTGGTATTCGGATTTTATGTCTCTTCCATGTCTCTTCCAGCTCCTCTAGTTATGTACTATATGTACTGGATACATCTATATACCTGGAGTCGACCCGTTCGTACCTCGGAACATGGGTACCTACTTTCGTTTCGGTACTGGGTCAGTCTCCAGGTAGACTATGGTCCAGGTGGATCCCACGCGACCCAAGGGCCGAAACGGAAGGCCCAGCCGCATGGACGGCGCAAGGCCGTGCGCCGTCGGCTATGGGCTCATTGGCACCTGGGCAAGGATGGTGCGAAGCAACCCTATACAGCGCGTCATGGCCAAGTGCTATGCAAGGCTGGTCATGGTAGAACCTGGCTCCTACGTAAGTAGAAAAGCAGCGTAGTAGCTGACGACTCTACATTCTGAAAGGTCACCGTGTCTGGATCCCTTGCTGTGCACACTCTGGATGATCCAAGCTCCAGACTCCAAACAAGAGACCCTTATGAGATCCAAACAAGGGCGCATGATCGAAACAGGAACTCTGAGTAACTTCGCTCATCTTCATCCCAATAAAGTTTAGGTTTACTTGGCTGTGCCTACCAGGACCTTCCAAGTCCGGTGGTTGTTGGAGACCTCTTCACCTCTAAGAGCTATTTATAGACACCTCTTGGAAGATCCTGGTATAGGTCACTAAGGTATTGGACCAACCCTATCTTTTGAGCGGGACATGACCAATAACTTGGTGACCTGTGCAGACTGGTTACCTCTGGCTGAGTCTTCATCCACCTGGAGAACCGACTTCTTTCGTACCATAAAGAACATATAAGAACATGGGACATGGCCCCATGAACAAAAAGCAAATACCAACAGAGGTTGAAGAAACTTATTATATATTATAGACTATCCCATGGGTGCCCCAGGTTATGGTCCTAGTTCAGGTCACTGGCTACCTCTCTTGGTAGAATATGTAGTATAGTTTGTATACCTGGACCTGGTGTAGGGGTGTCCCTGGACCTGGAGGTCCCTTAGCTAGTGGTGTAGTGGGCTGGGGCGAAAGCAGACAGGTGACCCCTTGATGAAGGTGCTGGTACATGTCACCATGGAAAAGGAACCATGTTACCATGAAGGTGCTGGTACATGTTCCAGCTAGGTGCTGGTACTCATTTCTTGCAAAGCAAACCGGGTCGACTCGATGAACCGGTCACATGGTTCTTACGTGGGCAAACAATGCCTGCCAGGCCCCGTAGGTGAAGACCATCCGAGTCGACCAAACAGTTGTTTTCCGAGTTCCAGGGGAGTGGATGGTCGACCTGAGACATTGGACCTCGAAAGTACGACCTCATCACTACAGATCCCGGTCGCAAGGGTTGCAGGTCCGGGTCGGAGATGCGTCGACGCTAAAGAAATGTGCCACACTACCGGTCGTCCTTTCAGAAAGACTATGGGTGAGTAAACGAGTTTGAAAGACGGCCTTGCCTGAGTTCAGAAGACTCAAAAACCTGATGAATGTCCGGTTCATCACTTCAAGTTTTCCACTGCCTAGTTTCTACTTGACGCACTGGTGCCTTCTATAGTTCTATGCATTTTCCCCGCTCAACTGCACAAGCACCCGCTGACCCACCATTCACCCAGCGGCGGGTACTTCCGCGAGCGCGCGAGCTCCGCAGCGTTGGACCGGTGGGATTGAGCCAACGGCTGAAGTCGTTGGCCTGGAAATGTCCAAGACCCTCTGAGAATTGATCCCACACCCTATGGAGCGTAAGTGTCAGACATATTCGCTATATTTCATGGCAGACCCTAGTAGACATCTCCGATTTCCAAACCTCAAAAACATCGGCATCCATGCCAACAAGGTCGACATCCTATATAATTGATGCAAATGGCGATCCAGTGGACCCAATGGAGCAAGACGACGTCGAAGCGATGCACCGAACAACGCCGCATCAAGCGAGCCACGCCATCAACTGCCACAAATCGCCGGTATAGCAACCTGGACCCGACTTTAAGTCTATAATAATAATAGAACATGGGACGTGACCAATAAAGGGTCAAGATCAGTAACAAAGGACCCAGTTTCTACGGAACGTTCAGTCCGCTTCGACCGGCGCCCGGGATCCGGTTTCTCAGAAAAGCCTCGCCCTGGGTTTCTCTGGGTGAGTCACCCTTGCCACGGACCCCCCAACGGGTCCAGTCAGGAAGGGTTCACCAGGGGGGACTCGGGGGGACTCGGTCTCCCTCCGGCTCCCTTGGGCCCTCGGTCTGGTCGACTGAGAAGTTCAAAGAAACACACCGGTTCACCATCTAGCATACACATTCCAGTCCCATAGAGTGTGTGGGAATTGACATTACCCTAAGAACGCTGAGAATCCAACCCTGCGGGCGGTTCACAGAGAAACCCGGAAACCCCCACTTCCCACAACATCTTCCATCCTCCCCCAGGTCGGCGTCCCCCGGTTCAAAGGGATCTTTTCTCACGGCACGCCGTTTTGTACAGTCGCCCGGTTTTGCGCGCGCCCCGCTTTTCAGGGTGCTCCCGGGACAGATCAACTCGGGCGCCAAGCGCCCAACGGATTGAGGGGCCGTCCTGGTGTTGCACTTGTTAAGGCAGAAACATCCATCAACACCGTATCAAGCGCCAGATTAGGATCAAATGGCACAAGAATAATCAAACGATCGGATCGGATGATCCATTTTGTAAAGTCAAGGTGCTCCTTAAAAAGACTTATAAATATAATATATATATATATAACCATGTATAGTCAGTCTACTCTTCAATGACTCGAGTCAGACACATCCACTAAAAGCACCGTTGAAGGGAATCCGTTCAACATGGTCTCACTGATTCTCTTGCATGCTGAAACTCAAGTGGATCTGATCTAGTTTTATAATGCATATATGGTCATGCGCTACAAAAGGTACCCAGGTCAATGTCGAAAACTATCGTCTTCACCCCTAAAACCCGGTCATTCCATTCCTGGAGCTCGAGCCCTGCATGTCATGCTACCAGGATCCGAGTCCGATCCCCGATGGGCTGCAGCTTCACTAACCCATATTAACCCCAATCCGTGTGGGAGAAAAGGGCTCGCGAGTGTCCGTGCCGTGCTCCAGAGTGCTCGACGAGACGGATCCGACATGAAGCTGAGACTGGATGACACAAGGAACGGAGCAACAAAGAGTCCAAGGACGTGCATGCTTCAAGAAACCCTGGAGTCGACCCGGAACTCGTACCTCAGAAAATGGGCAAGGACCAGGGTCGTGTCCCATCTTCTAGGGTACTTGCAATCGGGTTCAGGTCGTGTCTTTGAGAATTTGATGCTGAATAGTTCAAATGCCAGAAGATGTCAGGTTATAGATGTTACATGTGGTTCCATGAGACAATGTAGTTCACTTGCATGCAACCAAACTTGCAAACCACTTTTACAAGCTGTGCTTTCTATCCTCCTCCAGTCCCAGCGCGTATACGAGCAACGGCGGCTTCGCCGTCGTCGATTAGGACTGGACCGCACGATGAGGTGGACCCAAGCTTCCGTGTTTCTCATACCAAATGTTCCAATAATGTCACCCCAAGAACCTTAGGCCTAGGCCATGGCTGTCACCTGCCTTTGGGATCTGCCACATCCAAACATCCAAGGCATCCAACCAAACGCAGCAGTGGATCACAGGAGCCCGGTGGACCCGGATCTGCCCGGTAGGGTGGCAAGGACCGAAGCAACACGTAGCAGGTGGGTGACGAGGTCCGAGGTTCTGGGGACCTGTTGCTGGTTGAAGGCACTGCACAACTTCGGAGCCTGCAAAGGTCTTGCGAAATTCAACACGAAGCGCCAGAGTTCGACGTCTCTTGAGCTTGACTCGGTAGAGAAAAGAAACAACTTATACTCGGTAAAGCAGCAAACAAATGTTGAAATCAGGTTTAACAACAACAACAACAAAAATATTTTTGTTGCATGTGTCTGTGTGATCCACAACTCATCGTGCGCGAGTCCTGAAGAAAAAATAGCCTGACACGACAGAAGTCGAGTTGGCACCGGCTGAGTGGGCTTGAGGCAACGACTGGTGGAGCTCTGCACATGGAGTAAACTTTCTTAATGATTCAAAGCGGTGCAAGCCTATGGTCTTGTGATGTCTTGTGCAAGAGCTGCTAAAGCTGTTGGCGGATTCTTTTTCACTCAGCCCTTGCAAAGGGGCAAAAGGCTGCCTTGAACCCACAAAGACACTTGCATTGCTTGGTTAGCTTCAGCCTTAATTAGTGGGGAATAGTAGAGGGAACAATTGCAAGAGGTAAGACAACTGATCCTGAAGATGACCATCATAGTGAAGTCCGAATGAGTATAGACTCTTTCCACGCGACTTTCCGCGAGGAAATGGAGAGGGTCTCATACCATTTTGATTCGACCAATGTAATGTGTTGGAGACTTGCAACATCAAAAATCAGGAGTTACATGGAGTTACATAGGATCTACAGAAACAAATCCAAATCTCATCAAGTCTCTCTATCTCTTTAAAGAGTACCTCAACATCCGCAAGAAACGAACACTCCCGCTCTACCTTCTACCTCTTTCTCCATCTCTGCCCCTCAAGTACCGTGGCCACCAGCCGACCGCGCGGACGGCGCACTGCCACGGCCTTTGAGGCCTAAGACCAAGGGCTCAGTGCCGAAGGCCGCAGAGGCCGTGGAAGCCTGGTGGCGGCAGAGGCCGTGGAAGCGTTGGAATGTGTGACAGGTTCTCCTTCAATACTAAGCGGTTTGTACTAATCCTATAGTTAAACGTAGTTGAATTCAGAACTTTTGGCTCTAAGGACCTCATCATGCTTATCAAGTGGGGCAGAAAAGTGGCGCAGCGGCTTGTGGTTCGGAAACTGACTAAAGGGTTCCCAACAAATTCAACTTGGTGACGAGATAAAAACCTGGAGGATGAAAACTACAGCTTTCCTCGAAGATGAACCTTGAACCTGATTAACATTCTACCCGGTGATGAGATAGGAGTGGGTGAGCGCGCTCACCCATTTCACTTACTCTGTAACGAAACCATTTCGTCTGCGATGAGTAGAATGCGGAGTGCAAGAGGGTTGTATCTTGTTCATCAGCAGTTTGGTAGCAACTAGCAAAGAAGAAGATCTTTGCACTTCTTATCACTTCTTGCCATGCAAACAAGTCACAGGCCTTCGGGAGAGAAGGACACATATGACTTTGCTTCATCCGTAGGAAAAAACACTCCCCAACAACAAATCAGAGGGTGTTGTGGGTTTGG